TACTGCTGTGGGTATTTTCACGACTTTGAATATGCCAGAAAAGTGCTCATATAAAAGATGAATAGCCATTGATTTTGATATAAACAAATGTATTCGTGGCATGGTTTCTAAACTACTTCACCTGTTCCTCCCACTGATTACCATGAGATACGAATATCGGTTTGTCTATGTTCCGGGTAAACTAGTCCTGCCAAACACGCTAGCTATGGCTCCGAATCCCCACTGCAAGGCGACAGAGGGCGAAGATAGCGATCTGGAAGTAGATGCAGCATCGGTCTGATCCTGTCTGGTCAGTGAAAAAACTAGCGTGACAGTCGTCGAAGAGACCTCAGATTTGATCAGAACAACTCAATCTGACCAGAAGCAACCGTATGCGGGTGCGTAAAAAGCGCTCGGCTTAGATTTGTGGGTCATTGGAAAGCTGTTATTTAAAAACTCCAAAGTGGTCTTAGTACAGTCATTACGATCAGAAGCGCTGATTCGGCTACATAAAGGCCACTTAGAAATAAATCACTTGCGAATGCGACGCTTTTGACATGCTGACTAGGAATTACTGGCCAATTTGATCAGTACATGTGAAACTTGCAAAATCAATGTATATGCCCAATAAGACGGATCACTTTTGATAAAGGAAGCCCCGCATTCTCGATGGATTCGTGTTGGAACACATTTATGTCAATATGCAAGTAAAACGTACTTGGGGCTCTAATACACGTACTCTATTTATCCGAAAGTTGAAGAGCTACAAGCTACTTCAGCACAGGAAGGGATACGGAAAATGTCACCTATTTTCGCTAGGCACGGAATGCTAATGAAAATTCTCAGTGACATTGAGCTAAAATTCCCATCAAGAGAGTTTGCCTGCTTCGCGGCATCGTGCGACTTCAAGCGTATCACATCGAGTCCTCGCTTTGTACTTTCTAATGGACTCGCGGAAAAAGGCGTGCAAGTGGTGCAACATATTCTGATGAAGACCCATGCAGAATTTGGAAGGTGAATGTTAATAAGGCCTTCCTAATTATCACACAAGCCCTCTAGAGTGCAGCAGTTCCTCTGGTGAACTGCTAATGAATCGCCGCCTCAGGGCTGGTATTCCCAATTTTAATCCACTTCGCAGCTGAAAATCACAAAGTGGCCTAAACGCGGTGAACTGAAGGCAACGCTTTCAAGTCTTAGCCAGAAGACATCGTTCATTTGAGGGATGAGAAGGGATGTTTAAAAAGCGAAGGTGCTCGACCAGATTGCACCTAGTTCCTGCAGCTAGGGTACTCTCTGAAGACGGTTAGGAATACACACTAACTACTCAGCATCCTCAACCCACGTCGGAAGCCTTCAGTTTCAGAAGCCTATACAATAATAAAATGATAAAAGATGTGCAGCCACTCTGAATTCGAAAGGGCCTCGAATAAGTGAACATGATTACGATGACAGTGCTGGGTCACCTGCTTCTATGATTGACCCAAAAGAACCAGACACCACGGTAGAATGTACTTCCGAAACACAGACTGTTCGAATATCTCAGAGAACACGTCGTCCACCAAAGTTATTGTTCCACGACAAGCAGTGCAAGCAGATATTCGAGATGCATTGTTGACCATTGATCTTCGCCAAGAAAGGAAGGTGCAGCGGGCATTACATAGTTGTCTAGCAACATCCGGTTGCATCCCCTTACGAGTTGCCCTTGCTTAAAAGACTGCTACATCCACCGCCGCACCACGTGGGCTCTCGTGTACGTGTGCGTCTGTTCTTATGGCATGGCTTAGGCCCAGCGTTGGTTACACATGGTATTCATATAGTCTTTTCGTTCAGAGCAGATTCAGGAAATTAAGTTACCGTGGGGTAGAATAGATGCTTGCCATGTACACTGCCTGGGTTAAACCATCAATCTCACTGGAAAATTTTTATATAAATGTTATTTGCATCATCTTCAATTTTTGGGTCATGGACAAGATGATTTCTTGCTCACGACCAAAATGCCGACACCAGCACTGGCATTTTCACGAAATGAGTGCTTCTTTTTTTGGTGCATTCGCCTTGTTGGTAGCGGCGAGGCGTTTCAGATCTTTAACTCTTTCGCCTTAGAAATTGACTTCAAACTAGAGCGCTTGTACTGGGTGCCTTTTATTCATGTCTGAGCTTTTTATCGCTTGTTAGTTTCACGTCATTTAGACTTTTTGAAAAAAAACAATAGTCCGCTTTAGCAATGTCAGATGAATATGGCGGACAATTAAACCATGCCATCTGTGTCTTTGCCAAAATATCTCTACTTCAGTTGCTTTGTGGCACGGTCCGTTGTCGTGCAACAATAAGCAGTCACGCGAATGAACAACTGCCAACCGGACTTCACAGCGTGATGTGCCGTTGGTTCATTATTTCCCGTTTGTTTTTCTAGCAGGAATGCTTTATGCACAACACCATGATAGTGAAATAAAATGGCAGCATATTCACGGAGTGAGAGTGAATGATGGAGAGTTGGGCGAAGAATCCGAACGTCCATTCGTTCTTCCGTCCGTCCATGTGTTCGTCTGAGGGACCGTCCATGCTTCGATCCACCCGTCCGTGCGCGCGTCTGTTCGCGCGTCCGCACGTCCATCTGTGGGTCCGTCCCTGCGTTCATCCATGCATCTGTCTCTGCGTCCGTCCCTGCGTCTGTCCCTGCTTCCATCCGTCCGTGCAGCCATCTGTGCGTCCGTCCATGCATCTCTCTGTGTGTCCGTTCGTCCATCTATTCAACACTTCAAGTACCACCATCTCGCATCTTTTCATTATATCTTCCCCAAATAGCAGCAACGCGATCCAGCGGACATTCCAAGGACTAAACGAGAGGTGGCACACTCACACTTTCTTACGGCTTGCGCTTCGTGTCAACTTCCCACCTCTAACCACCTCGAGTTCATGGTATATACTAGTTCACTGTATTCATGGCACTGGGGCCCAACGCTTGCTAAACCTTTCTAAAACCAAGGAGGTTACGCCCAGTGAGTATAACGTAGCAACCCATTCTTGTCAGATAGTGCTCAATGTGCATGCAAATGGCTACTGATAGAGAATGAGAGAAAGGAGAATTCGGCTTTTAGTTAACGCGCATGCTGCGAACTTTTTATGGTTCAACGACGCACAGGAGAAATATCCCAGCGGCACCACCTTGCAGGTCAAAACGTTAGACATGTTACGCACTACGACTACGACTACGAGAGCCGAACGGGTGCCGCTTCAAGTAGCTTCGCCCCTAAAAAACGTCGCAAGCGTTGTCTTCCCACAGGACTTCTGGGTGCAAAGTTTTTTGGTAGTGGAGAATTCCTCACGCGTGCTGCTGAATGTCTCTGTGTAGCCGGACTGTGCGCATGGAATAACGATTCATCAGCAGTTAAGTCTTTTTAAACTGTTCTGGTTAATTTTTCGCTTTTTCAGCCAACTATATGTACTGACAGTAAGATACCCAGTCTTCTGCTGGCTCGGTTGCCAGATTGTGGGGATCAAATTTGGAACAAGATTTCCGCTTCTCTAGATCTTGTTCCAGGACCTTCACGGTAGTATCTACGCTGATGTTAGGGTCTTCAACAATTATTCTTGGGGTGTAGTAGCAGTTCCCAATTTTTAGCGCACTTTTGTAAGATTTAAGACAACTTGAATGGGCACCACATGGGCAGGTTGGAGGTGGCCCGTGACCGCCTCAGTGAACCATCGATGCCACAAAAAAATTTCCCGTCAGTGTTGCAGGCAGTTTCAATATGTCCATGTACTCTATGGTTTTCATTCCTGCAGTAACATCAGACACACCTATTTCAGTTGCCATTTACTGTGTTTAAATACATACACGCCTTTTATGTAACCGCACTGCTTACTACTGATATTACTAAAAAATTTTGAAATCAGAACCCCTGAGAGACCTTTTTCTAATTGAACTATATGTCTCCCTAATCCTCATCTAGACTACATGTTCGCTAGATATTGGATTTTGTTACATACTTCATTAATTCACACACACATTTGACTATTTTTTACATTGAGAACGTGCCTAATAAAAAATATTTTCTGTCGCTTGACATATATCTTAAAATCTTTAAATCTTTAAATCTTTAAAGTCATTACAGAACAATTTTATAACAAATTTATCAACTTGATAACACAAAGTGCTGGCTGACTTGGCAGTCCTCTCAATGGTGGCGTGCAAAAAAAATTGCTGGGGGCTTGCAGCCGCTTAGGCAGCGTTAGGGCAGCTTTGGAGAGGAAGGTCGATGTTGAGAAGCAACACAAGAGTATGTGACAGTGCCAAAGTGGCCGGATACTTCACTGGTGTAGTTTGCGACATTCCGCTTATATGTGGGAAGCATTATGTTGTACGAAACAGGATTTGTGTAAATAACAAGCTTATGGATCTAAAAGCTTCGCTTAAGCGGCAACAGTGCTCCAGCCTTTCTTTGCATTGCACTAAATGCGGCTGTACACACTTGTTCCGTGATACAATAATTTCAGGGACAAGGTAGCGCGTGACATTGAAGAAGCGCACTTTATTAACAAAGCAGGATATGCATGTGTCTTGAAACTTTCAGGTACGTTACTGCAACTGAGTTACCTTTTCTGAAAGCACGTCATTATACAATATTTCTCTGCTCATATAACCACTTCTTTAACACGTGCCCGCTTAGATGTGTGTGCTGTTGCAATAAATTTTCAGTTAATGTATGCTGTTTTCTTAGTTTGTTTTCTTCCTTCTCTGCAATCAATATTTTCCACACAATCTTTATAAAAAAATACCGAGTAATTGGTCTGCTTCCCATTTCCTCAAAATTACACACAGTATAGGCCTAAATGTAATGAACATCATGTTTGTGTGGAATGCTTGTATATTTTATAAAAGAACGTTATTACGAGCGTTAAATATATTGAATACAAAATATTTTTGCTGTTTTCGTAAATATATTATTATATGCTCGTTTTATGTACATAATGGGTGTTTCATTCAAGCGTAACTACATCACAGTTTCTCCTTCTCGTGTTCAGTCGAATCCATGCCACACATCGCACCGCGGTAGCTGACTGTTCTTTTTGGGGCACGAAAATGTTCTGAGGAATGGAGCAAAGTTGCTGAGGGGAACATTGACGCGAAGCTTCGCCGGTGTTATCGCCAGACTGCGCTGGAGCTTTCGGGTCGTCTTGTCGGCACCGTCGCACAAGGACGAAGCGTAGTTATAAAAGAAGAGCTGCTTGGATGTAACGCGCCATTCGGGTAGCCGATAGTACATTCGCGTGGCATTGTATCTATCTAAAGCTCTTTCGTACAACTCGTACAGTGGTCGGAGAATGGCGTTGTCTAAGAAGTCGTTTTCCAGGCGTGTTGTACTGAGCCTTTCGGGAGAACGGTAGTCAGCTCCTTCGTCAGCGCGCCCCGCTGCCTCGTACTGCTGCAACAAGCATTGGCTGACGTTCTCATACGCACCGACCGACCCGGAGCTCCACCATTTCCGCGGCACCATGCGCTCGTCAAATAGCGAGTTACTAAGCACAAGTGCGCGCAGCACAGGCCTGACTACGTGCGCCAACACGGCTGGGTAGAGCTGGAACGGAATCTTGTTTGATATTTCGCCAAGGAAGCCAATCACGCCGTTCGGAACAAACACTAAGTTGTTCGTGGGCTGGTACTGGCTGCTCCAGTCGAAGATTGATATCGTGTAGACGTTGTCGTAGGCTGGTGTCGTCCGCACAGCGCCACCGGTTGTGAGGGCGTCCCAGTATATGGAAGACGCGTAGGAAAAAATTGCAAACACAGTGTCCAGAACGCTGCTCTTAGAATCTAGTGCCAGCGCTGGCGTCTGGCGGTAGCCCTCGTACTGGACGAAGTTTGCCTGCGTGCCGAATACGAGCGTCATGGAATCTAGCTTCCGTTGAACTGTTTTGATGTCCTCTCGTGAAAACCAGGAGCGACCAGACTGCAAGAGGTCGTGCACGATGGTCCGTGTCTCGTTGAAAAACTCGGAGAACTGATCGTCGTTGTGCGTCCTGTACACGCTAGCGAACTCCTTGCTCGATGTGAGCTTGGCAGCGATACCGATACCATAGCGGTACATCTTCTCAAGAAGGAAGCTGCACGCTGCGAGCTGAGCGTCTACATGCTGGATGTTGTAGCCGTGACTGAATTCGTACAGAAGCCGGTAATCGGATGGCAGAAATGGCGAAAACGTGACCATGGCTTTGAAGCCCACGTAGTTTGCGACGACAGTTTGGTAGTCATCCATGTCGAATATTGCGCTGACGTGAGAGAAAAACGAGGGATCCTCCACGTAAATAAATGTAGTGCCTATGACCCGCATCTCGGTCTTCAATAGCATTCTCATGTAACTAAGCCAGTCCCAGCGGTCACTTTTTGGCAGCATATCAATCGACCACAGGTCCTTCACTGAATAATCCACAGTCATTGTGTCCATGGATGTCAGGTTATCCAGTGCTATTTCAATTCGCGATATTTGTTTCCCTGCAATCTCACCGATTGTTACGTTTCGATAGAGGCTTACAGCTCGCATGATCGTTTCTAGATACCGCTTCGTTGCATTCGGTCTCGAGGCGAAAGCGGAGCGCCTGAGATAAGTCACTGGCGCTTTGAGAACAATTTGCGGCGTGCCTTGACCACCAAGTGCTCGCAAGACGTTTACCGTAAACAACGTCTCGAGCATAAGGTATCGATCTCCTGTTGACACGAGCTTCACTAGGTCACCACAAAACTTGGTGTACGGCCATCCGCTTAGTTCGAGAGATTCTAGAATTCTCATCCAGGCCGGTAAAGTGTCACCCGTGACATGGGCCGTCTTGCACTTTTCGTGGACCCACATAGCCTGAACAAGAAAGTTGCTTTCGATAGGTCTTGGGTATTGCCCCTTTATGGCAAGAAATCTTTTGAAAAACATGTCCACGTCGAGAAGGAGCTGCCCTGTGCTCAACTGCGGGTAAGGCTCCTCTCCGAATCCCGCCCTCTTGTACCTGGAAAGGTGGAAAAAAATATTTGGCTCAAGTGACTTCCTTAATCCGGCTAAACCATGAAAATAACGAAGATAAGACAACGAAAGCGAGGCAATAATAATAACACACCTGATGGAGCTTCCATATTTGGTAGTACGCAAAGGTCTGAGTAAGCGTTTTTTGCCTTTGCGCATGCGCAAGACGCTAACGTCTTCCCGTTACAGTATTGGGTGACCGCAATGAACGCTAACTTAGAGTACGCTATGCTCTAACTCCCTAACGAGAAAGATGATCTGTCTGTGATCTGCGAAATTTCACTTTGTCAGATATCACAGGACATGTTCGACCAATATCAAAATTAAAAATCGAGATATGCCCTTTGAGTTACATATGAAAAAACGAAAGTAATGATATAGAAATTTTATTACTGTCGAAAACCCATGTCACAAATGCCCGGCGCAACCATAGTGGAACTTGGTCTCAAGCTAGAATGTCTTTGCTGTACTTGGTTAATGCTTTGTTACTACTGAGAAAGTGGCAGATACAAGACTTCCCGCAAGTAGTATAGCGCTGCTACGATCGCAAAAACCTCTGCTACCTCAGCGCTCTTGTCCTTCATGTCCTTCTTGTCTCTGTGTCGTCTTTTTGTTCTCGCGCTACAACTATCGTCCTTCCTTACGCATGCCGTCGCGGGCCCCTCCTACCACTGCGGCGACAATCTTGGGTGGCCCGACACTCTTCGAGAACTGGCCAGCACAGGATGAGAACCGGATGTGGACTTACACCGACATTTGGATGTACATAGTCTGCTTTCGCACTCAGCATTCACAATGTTTTGTTTATTTTGTATTTCTTTGTTTTTGTTTCTTTAGTTCTCTCTCACTCTCGCAAACATCTTTCAAGGCGAGAGGGACACGGCAGCAACGCAGTTTGAACGTCTTTGTTAGTATAACTCACCCCCAGACGAAGAAAGAATCCCTCCCGAAACTGTTGGGAAATAAAGCAAATAAATATATTTATCTTTTCTGACAACGCTCCCGTTGTGACATATCCCATACCTTGAACAATTACACCTAGTATATATATATACACATATATATGTGTGTGTGTGTGTGCATGTGTTTATTATATTTGAACAGAATTGGATATGTATATTCTGATAAATACTAGTCACCATCGCATGCTTCATTATGTAGCTTTACTTCTTTTACATACACTACAGTGTCAATCGCTTGTAGACATTGCGCTTTTTAAAGACGATAGTCTTCATTGGGGACTTTCAACGCAAAATTTTGGTCTGTCTGTCTGCCTGTCTGTCTGTCTGTTTGCCCACTCTTACCGGCATCGGGTACTTGAAACAGCTGACCCCATCCGCAGCGACCACTAATGTTGCTCATGGTTGAGCATTCATGCTTGTGCAATTGTCACCTAAAGCAATTATTGCGCATGTCTTGGCCCCCTTACCAACGCACATAATATGCATCTCCTACTAGAAAACGCCTAGATATGAGATTATAGGACCGTAGCGCTTATCACGCTCCGCTTACCATGCAACGCTTGCACGGAACGGGGAGTGTTTCCAGCGCTTTGCAAAGACGAGATGGTGGTGGCGCGTACCCGTCGCCTCGCGTTCTGCAACTTATCACCTCTGAGACGGGTGCGCACAGCCACGCGCTTTGTTTTCAAAAAAAAAAAACTGTCAGATGGCGCCCACGTGTCGCGTGTGACGTGACTTGATGCGCTCGTTCACCTCCGCTGCACGCTCGAGGCACTCTAACGCAGCGCCTCCAGAATACAATTCACCAATTTTCTTGCGCAGAACATCAAATAAATGTTTCGTTCCCTCTCTCCACACGCAAGACTATCGTCTTTCGACGGCATTTGCAGATTACATGCAGATACGGGGCCAACTTTTTTCTCCTTATTGTTCTAAAATGTAAGCAGGTTTCCTAGCACAAAGCTACGACGTTACTTGCAGCTGTTTTGACGAAAAAAAACTCTATGAATGCCGTGCAGTGCAAGAAGTCCCCTTAACCCATTTTTTCGACAGGTGTTACGACAAAAACAAGCCCATTCGGCGATTTGTAGGCACATTTGGGAGGCCATCAAAGTAACTAAAAAAGACTGGGAATACTGCAGCCATCGCCGTTAAAAACACACAGGAAATTTCAAACAGCTCTGAAAATAGACAACTATGTCCATCAAGCGGAAAACATATGCCTTTCCAAAGGCGTTGAACAATGGAAATGTGCTGCCATCTCTGAAGCATTGTCAGACATTTTATGCCTCCCGGGTGGCGAGCGCAGAGCGTGTATCTTGGAGGCCATGCCATTCTTGCTTTACATGAAAAATCTGTATGTATTATTAAGACAATCGAGACCAGGGACTGCTTCGAACGAATACGGTTTATTGGAAGAAGTGAAGTAGCGCGCGCTCGCTCCAGACAGCAGTCTTCTTTCTTCTTCTTTCCGCGTTTGATGATGATATTTTATAGGCTCCCGCCCGCCCAAAGTTGAAATGTGATAAGCCCTCGCGGGCTGTTTGAAACAACCTTCCATTGGGTACATGTGGTTCACCGATCTTCTTAGAAGCTCTTTTTTGCCATGTGCGAAGGAGACAAGCTCTTGTTATTCCGTCTCGCCCAAGGTAGAGTTTTTCAATCCGGCACATTTTCCAAAATGTTCTTGGAGCCTTGTCCTCAACCAACACGATGTCACCCTGTGAGAGTGGTTTTGCTTGCCGTGTCTTAGCTTTGACCGTAGCTCCTATTTCCTTGATATATTCTTGATGCCATCTTTTCCACCAAGTGCGCACGAGTTTGCATCTGCCTCGCCATGCGTCTTCAATTTCACCGTTGTACAGTCTTGTTTGTCCGTCTTGAAGCTGTCGCCATCCACCTATGATGTCTGCCGGCGTTAGTGGCATTGGCTCGTCAGGTTCTCCATATACGTAAGTCAATGGTCGATTGTTGAGTGTTCCTTCAACTTCTGCTACAATAGTGCGTAGCCTCCTCTACCGAAGCTGTGCTTTTCGATATAATTTTTCGCATCGACGTCTTCAAGCTTCTTATGAGACGCTCGTAAAATCCTCCCCACCATGGCGCGCACTCGGCTATCGTTTTCCATTGAATTTGTTGGCCACTGCAGTAATTCTTAAAGACCTCGTTTTTAATTGTTTCGAGCATTCTGTTGATTTCCTTTCCAGCTTTTATAAATGTTTTGGCGTTGTCCGAGTATATTACTGCTGGTATTCCTTATCGAGCTGTAAATCGTCGGAATGCTTGTAGAAACCTTGACGATGACAAATCGTTGGTAACTTCCAAGTGTACTCCTCTTGTTACCGCGCAGGTGAATATCAGTACATATTGCTTCACAATCTGGTACTGGTCCTTTGCGTAAAGAGGTCCTGTAAAGTCAACTCCCGTAACTTTGAATGGCTCTGCTTCAGTGACTCTGTCTGCCGGAAGTGGAGGTATGTCTTGAGTCGCCGGTCTAGAGTTATGCCTCTTGCAGACGACACATTTGTTTAGAACTCTTTTCACTGCTTGTCTACCCTGCAATATCCAGAACTTAGTTCGAAGTTGTGCTAGCGTCACTTGAACTCCTCGGTGTGATACCATCTTATGCACGTGACGTATTAGCAGTTCCGTGAAATGCTCATCCTTTGGAATTACTATTACGTGCTTGTTGAATTCTTGGCTGCACTGCAATCGTCCTTTCTGTCTGATGACTCCATCGTCATCAAGGTAAACTTCGTGTTCATAATTTCAAATGATCGATTGTTTGAATAGGCCTTTCTCTTTGTTTTTCTGAGTGATATTTGGGTCTGTCTTATCTATTATTTCTCTGCATTTGTTACCTCTTTTCCCGTCAACGGCCCTTTGTGATTTTCCTTTCTTGTGTTGTTTATGAATCTGAACACCCATGCTGTCACTCTTATAAGCCGTCCGTATGATGAATACCTTTTGATTTCCAAGATTGGCGCAATTTCGGCTCTTCCCATGCATTGGTGACATTGTGTTTTATGCTGGTCTTCCACGTCTGTATTTGTGCCAATTATGCTTACTAAGTTCTTTTCCAGTGATGCTATCCATTCGGGACCGTTCCACTATAACTGTGACGTTATCAATGCCTTTGCGCTTATTCCTCGTGTAAGTAGGTCAGCAGCGTTGTCGTCACTTTGAACGAATGATCAGCTTGCTTGAAGTGTTTTTCTCTAATTTCTGCGATTTTGTTGGCAACAAACGGATCTCTTTTGCTTGTTTCCTTGATCCAGCGCAGCA